CTTCATCAGCCCCAACCCCCCTGTCACTGTGCCCAGGCGCGGGTGCCCAGGAGGGTCAAGACTTCGAGCTGCGGCAGCCCCAGGACAAGGTGTCGGTGACGGTGGGGGAGACGTTCACCCTGACCTGCACCATGTCCGGACCCAGTCCCCCTGGCCCCCTGAAGTGGCTGAAGGGCTGGGGCAGTGAGAACGAGACCATTTATGACCAGACGGGCACCTTCCCCCGCGTGACGAGGGCAGTGGTTGGGTCCAACACAGACTTCAGCATCCACGTCGGGGATTTTCGTCCCGAGGATGCCGGCACCTATTACTGCGTGAAATTCCGCAAATCGCTGCTTGGTGGTGAGGTTTTTCGGCGTGGAGGGGGCACAGTGGTGTCCCTGTACGGTGAGTGCGGCCCACTGGGATGCTACTCCCAGGACTCCATCGCAGGGTGCTTGTGGTGGGGTCCCATGGTGCCCTGCACCCACCACCCTCTCCCTGCTTTGCCTTGTATCTCCGCAGAGCCCACCGTGGTTGCCAGCATGGTGGCCACAGCCGTAGTTCTCTGCTTCCTCCTCCTCGGCCTCTTGGTCGCCCTTTGGGTGTACAGGAGGAAGCGCAGAGGAAAGACGGAGAGCCAGTGCCTGGCCAGGCCCGGGCAGGGCACCTTCTTGCCCATCCCTCTGCGGTGCTGTGCAGGGACCCGCAGGTTTGTACCCACCGCCCCCTCCTTCTGCACCCTGAGACGATCCAACCACCTCATCTACCTGCCTTATTCTGGTTTCCTCTCCCTTTGGAGCAGTAGTTTTCCCCTAAAAAAGGTCCTTTACTGACAGGCGCAACTCTGCGCTACATCACTTCTCTCTGCATTTCACTGGAGCGTGGGGTGAGGGGTGCCCAGCACTGGGAACCTCCCTGCGTCCCCTCACTCCGGCGTCTGAGCCCAGCCCAGACACGCAGGCAGCACGTTGTCCCTCTCCTCCGCCGTCAGCGTGGGCATCACATGCAGCCACGTGCCACAGAACCCGGCTAAAATTCGGGGGGGGAATTGAGGAGGGCTGTGCTGAGTGGGATGGGGACCCGGATTCCTTTAGCTCTAATGGCCATTCTTCCCCCCACCAGCAATGAAATCCTGGATGCAGAAACCTCACATAGGCCCAGCCAGGTAAGAGTGGGCTGTGAATATGGGGAAGAGCATCCCACGCCAGTGTCCCAGCTTGCGGGGACTCTGCGAGGCTCCGGGGCCAGGGTG